GGGGGAGGGAGGGGGAGCCCACTTTCGTCTTCTCATAAAGAAGCAAAGGTCTTAATTGATTCAAACCATAAAAAGTGGACAGATGACACACGTGACTTAAGTGTGACAAAAGCCTCTTGAAAATGATTAGGAGCTACCTATCTATCTATCTATCTAACTTACAAGCCACGCATCAAATATCCCCATGGAATATGTTATAGTTTTAGATGCTTTACCTGAGGAGAGACCTTCTTTCAACTAACCGAACTAACCTTAGGAGAAGTAGATGGACAGGTAGAATGAGCAACTGTTGAGGGAAGTGAGCCAACCCTAGCTATGTGGTCCTCTAGCTTTTACTTTACAACTAAACCTTACCTGCTACTGCAGTGCTTCATTATACTAGGATTTGATTATGGTACAAAAAAATAAAAATTTTGGTATTATATTAAAATTTATTATATTTATGAATATTATTATAATTATTGTAGATATTTTTATCAATGGTATTTTAAAAAGTGGTAAAAACAGATATTATAATAATGGTACAAACACCCCGAATAGTGGTAAAAAGGTTCACAAATGTGATAAATTATCCATAAAAATAAATTCTTTTTATATCAAAGAAAAGCTGTAAAAATAATTATTACAACAGTAGTAAAAATACCCACAAAAATAGTAAATCACCCACAAAAATGATAAAATTTTAAATTATAAAATAACTCACAAAAATTATAAAAACATTCTTTAAAATAGTAAATTTTAGAGGTACAATGCCAATTTCTTTTTTTTTTTTGTCCCTAACTAACCATAACTGTAACACAAGTTAATGGTAGAAAAGTTTTTTTTTTTTTTTTTTTGGGGGGTTCTGTACCTCCAATTAACCCTTTAAAGTTACATATTTACCCACAAAAGTTAAAAATAACTACTTGGGGTGCCATAATCAAGTCCACAACTAAAGGGGTGAAGTTATGATACCACNATTTAAGTTTGTTTTCGTATAGAAAACGTGTTAAATTCGAGTCAAGTTCTATACGAATCGAATTCAAGCTAAGGTTGAGTAGATTGAATCGATTATCAATTCTAGTTCTATTTTGTCGCCAACTTGATTCAAAAGTTTCAACCTTCTTTTCTTTGATCATAAATCAAAAGAAATTCTCCCACTTCAAAACCTTGTGACTTGTAAAACTCCGGTTTAGATCATCTCACCTGGTATTTTTGCCCATCTCAATCAAATATCATCAATAACCGTTAAATTCGATCGCATTGGTTTTCAACGGCCCAGGATCGGTTGTTGACTGGTCAACGGGCTGGACCGAGCCAATCCATAATAAAAGACTAGACTCATTATAGTTCAATAAAGGGTGAGTTCCAAATAGATAAACCAGTTATGTAAATCTATTTTAACGTAAAGNGTGCACGGTTGGTCATGTACTTTTGAATGACCAACGAGTTTAATTATTATTATTATTTTTTATCTTAAGAGTAATAATGTCTTACACTATTTTATATTTTAATAATGAATCACATTAAAAGACTTCAGGGACTAATTTGCATAAAAAGTGATGGGTCAATGAACTCGACTTAAGGAATATCATTCTTCAATAGGTTTAAAAAATTCTCTCAACGAACGAATAGTCTTATCGGCTAATCTATTCATTTACAACTAAGGATAGTGCTTGAGAATGTTACTCCTGCTCTAGCTACCCTATTATTACACGGTTATTAAATATAAGAACCACCAAAATAATGTATATATTTGCATTTTTATGACTTTTTTACCCTTTATTTACTTTTACCCTCTCTAGACTAAATTACTGGATTTGTCCTTGTTCCCATAAGATGACTATTTATAATATAAAACAAGACAGATTTCAATAACCTCATCCAACGGTCTTAAATAGACTAATCTAATAGCCACTAACATCCCTCTTAAAACCATTCATGTTACATCATAACTCCAGATATGAGTTACCCTATTCAATAGATATAGCATTGGGCTAGCCTTAAATGGCAAGAATCAAAAT